TAGATATCAAATAAACTCCCAATTAACTTATAGTGCAGCCTAGCCCTAATTTGTCAGTGTCAATGAAATAGTGCAATATCAAGGACAACCAAACTTGGATATACAACCATGTTTATACCTAAGGTTCCTTTTTGGTACTCACCAACAAGGATCAACCGTAATTATTTTCAGTCAGAAAGTGTCCTGAGTTTCCAGAAAATTGTAACTTATTACATTTTAAAAATTGAGGGTAAATTAAACGTTTCGGTTCTGGTTTTGGAGCGAGTCCAAGTTCTTGCAGTGACTTCAAAGGAAGGAAGGTGGGAAGATTTTCATACTACTAATAGCCTTCTTTGAATTCAGCGTGAAAAATACTGGGTAATTTCTATAGTTTCGGCCATTTAGGGGAACCAAACAAATTTTTAAAAACTCTTCTATCTCATCATTTCAGTAAACTATGATATTATTATTTGAATAGAAGTTAAATGTCAAGAAAAAAAATACCGCAAATTATTATTTTTGGGATAGCACTACATTGACCAAGGAATACTCTCAAAGTGTAAAGTTTCCCGAACAAAGCTCGGTCCCCAGCTACTTGTCAAACAACGCAATAATGTACGTTATTTCATAAAATTTGTACCTGAGAAATGTAAAAATGGAAAATGCATTTCTCGTAAGTGTAAGCAAATCTTAAAATGATAGGATTTGTAATGATACGATCTTAAAACGAGCAATTCAGTATTCTTATTCAGAACACCAAACACCCGCCACTGGATCAAAATATGCCCGCACGGCGCAATCCGGCACGGTGGGAAGCCCCTCTCGTACAATTTAAATTACGTACATAAGCCAAAAATAAAAAAATATGATTTAGAACATTTCACTTTTTGTATACAGAATCCACTGTTTTTAAACTAACCTGACCAAAAAATAAAATAAAGTAGTAGCCGACAAAAAAAGTTCTGTGGAAATTTGCTATGTCACGTTTCATAAAACATTAAAAATAATCGACTTTATTTGAATATTTAAAATGAAAAGTACCGGGGGACCGAGCTGTGGCTCAGTATGTATATTTCGATTGTAAAAGCAATATAAAGGAAACTCGTGTTTTCTTTATAACTAATTTCGGCTTTTATTGTTTAAGTTTCAGTGGAATTTCAATTTACTATGATGTAACTTTAAATGGACAATGCAACACATTACTTTATTTTAATCTTACACATTTTTGTTATTGTAAATAAATCATAGAAATTTAAAAAAAATAAAAGTAGTATTTTTTTAAATACGTTCTTAATGAATGAATTAATATGCGATCACAGGTTAATACAGTAGCAATCAACTACACAGCATTAAAACAGCACAGTGTATGTAAGGGGTGTGATTTATTTCTTGGTACTAAATTAAGTCATTCTTCAAGTATAAGTAAAACTTCAGCATGGGCATACTCTCTAACGTACTATCATATGATGGATTAGCTGAAGGCAGATAAGTCCGATTCAAGCTTATATTGCTTACTATAAAGATTGTTGTAATACAATTAACTTTAACTAGTGGTCGTCCAGTGGCCGAAAACTCGACCAAAAATATGTAATGTATAGGTTTCAAATGATTTAGGCCTAAAACTTTTTTTCCCCGTGTGAGTAACTAAGGACTTCTGGATAATTTAAATATGATATTTATATGTTTCTTACTCAGGAACAATGCCGTTCCGGGACACTATATAAATGGACGTTAACGTGATTATAAATTTGCATTTTACATAGTCAAAATACAATAGGTATTGCGCAACCGTGATATGTGAAGTCATTAACCTTGGTTTACTAATAAAAACTACACCGTATGCTTACTCAAACAAAACAAAACTTGCTTACTGTACAGCAATAAATCACGTAAAGAACAAAACAAAATGAAAATGTAGACTAGAAGACTACTGATACCGTAGTCATCCTAGGCTACTACTACATGATGTTTCAGAACAGAAGTATGGGGATAAAAATATTAAATAACTCATAAAACACCATAAAATCATAGTACTGTACTTAAGTCTTTCTGGTAATAATAACAATGATAAAAATAAGATAAAGATAAAAATGACACCTCTTATTATTTCTCTTTGTTCTATTCTTTCTTTGGTTTCTCTACATCCACAAGTTGTCATGGTTACTAATCACCCAACGACCCAACCACAAAATATTGTAGTGTTGTGACAGCAGACAGAAGCAGACGATTGTCAGTATGTCAGTGTCAGTGCAAGATTGTCAGTGTGTAGGTGCGAGCGTATAGGTTGACCTTGACGATACTGATCGATATTTCTCCGTTTTGCTTCCATCTTATTTTTGTTAAATGATCTGTAATATTTCAATAATTGGGAACCTACTGCACATAAAAATTACCGTAAATAGTTAAATATATCGTTCATATCGAAATATTAGACTGAAAAACACAGTTAATAAAACATTTTCTTGGGATTTGTGAGGTTATATAATATATAGGCATCATGATGATGCGACTCCAGTTAAGCAGGGTTCTACTGTATTTGCAAGTTAAAGTTACAAATAGAAAACCCATTATGGTTTGTATTCAATGACCGATGTATTATACAAAATAAATTAATACTTATTTTGATATTAATCAGCAGCATTTATTACAGCTTGCAGCACTTATTGGCATATATAAATATCCCAGTTACTATTAGTAAAAAAAAAAAAAATAAAACACAAAATTGTGTGGCCATTCAATTTTTATAAACACAGTGTTAAACATTTGACTCTGCAGAATACGGGATGGTAAAGAGTGTATGGTTTCAAGAAAATAAAATAAAAAATAGTTTAACCTGCTTTACTATTTATTTTGAAAAATAATAGATAGGAAACCATAAGGATAGGTATGGGATTGAACTGAAATAATTGCAGGAAAACTTAAATCGTAAAGTCCACAATCTGTAAATTGTTAGAGAGCGAGAGAGAGAGAGAGAGAGAGAGAGAGAGAGAGAGAGAGAGAGAGAGAGAGATAGAGAGAGAGAGAGAGAGAGAGAGAGAGAGAGAGAGAGAGATTTGATAAGGAATCTGAAAAGTAAACAAATAATCGTTTCTGGCGTTCGTTATATTGTACTCCCCTCCCCCCCCCCGTATTTGCACTCGTGACCACTTTTTGTTGCTTCCTTATCATTCATCCGTCCCAAAATATAATTCCTGTAATAGTTTGTTTGTAAAATTGAAATTATTATAAAAATATTTTATCTTTCGAGTGTAGTTTCATGGTTATTCTTATCAGATAGAATAATATCGTTGTCATATGTAATAGTTACTCCTTCGCGTTACGCAATTGCGTAAAAAACAGTTCCAGTATCTCGGACAAGATTCACGTATATTTCTCGAGATAAAGAAAATCCGTATAGTTCCCGGTCCGTGGAAACACTGTAAATACTAGGATAAAAAATATTGTATAAAGGAGAAGTTGACTAAAATTTCAACTGAAGGTAAAAAAATCAAAATAACTTAAAATATGAGATGATGAACGGGTAGGATCAAGATTCAACCAATTATAATTAATTAATATTCGACGATCCTTATTAGAGGTGCATCATATTTATTTGGAGTATGAACATGTTTAAACATTAACACGTAGTTAATCACTATCCCAACACAAATAGTAACAAGGAGTAAACGAAGGTTACAGACCGCTGGGTTTTACCGCTACAAAGTAGGGTAGGGTGCCGTACTGGCTACACTACTCCACGATAGAACACACGATGAGACAGTCTCCGCATTGGTATTGCAGTTACGCTTATCGACACAGGCAGCAGCACCGGTTTGCTGTTTTCATACGTATAAAGTGCACGGGAAGCCATACCTGACTGGCTTATGGGAGAGCTGACTGGCTTTCGGGCGGGTGACTGCCACACCGAGTAAATTACCAGCGCACTGACTGCCAAACCGGGTGGGCACAAAAGTATATATTTATATATGTGTCCGTTAGCGCGATAACTCGAGCAAAAACAATCCGATTTTGATGAAATTTGGTACAAACGTGTAAACCTACGTTTATTCGAACGAGTTTGCGAACCAGCATGATCGGACCATAGGAACGGGGGTTTATGGGGGGTTTTATGGGGTAAAAATGGGTTTTTCCCACTTTTGACTCAAAAAACATAAAATTTTGCAATTTCTTTCCAAACTATTTTGTAGACTTTAAAAAAACAAATAATTTAGTATATTGAAGCGTTATAATGCACCTAATGGTTACGGAGAAAATTTCAAAAAATTGTAAATTTAAAATTCCCATGTTATTCTTATGGAGAATAAGTAAACTGTTGTAGTTTGCTTGTTTATTAACATTTTTTGCCCAAATTTGGAAAATGTTTTTATTTCTTACTAACTATTAACATTTTACATAAAAAACACTTTTACCCTCCCTGTTGCAGCAAACCTTACTATACTTACTTACTTAGTATGTGTTAAACTGATTCTATTTAAATAGGGAATAAATGTGATATTTTTAAGGAGACATTTTAGTGTAAATCCAATCAGGCAAATGGAAATTCGCTTAGTCTGCAGGTTTGCTGCGGCGGGGGTATTTAAACTTAAATATTGCAACAATAGGCAGCCCAACAACACTTCTGCCGTGAAGGTTGAGGAGGTGAACACGTCTATAGAAGAAAGTGTGCAATCAATTGGCGTCAGAGGGGAAGGTTCTTTTGACACAAACCAATTTTTGTCCGAGATCCGAAGTTCAATACTTTTTACTCAACCTGAAGTAAAAAAAGTCTGGCTCGCAGACCCCTACCAAAATGTGGATCTGAAGTAGTTCCTCACAGAAAGTATATAGAGGGTACTTTTCAGACTAGACTGTCAAACAATTGATTTATACATTAAATTTTTTATCTGAAATTGCAATGTGGATATTATCATTATGTAGTCGATGGAAATTAAGATAATGATTACTATAACAGAAAGGAGGTGCCAAATATAACACAAAAACTAATCCTAGAAACTGTCCCAAATATCTGTTGAATAACTTACCTGTGTTTTATCCCCTGAACGGAACACTGAGGACTAAAGACAGGGTCTGTGATCTGGTTAAGACAATGAGGATCCTCTAGACGAGATGTGAGCACCAGACGCTGGCCCTTCGGTCCCTTGGCCTGCACATTGTACTGCCAAAAATACCTTTCCTTCTTGGAGTGAGATCGAGGCACTGATTCACCATCGCTCATTGACTCTGTAATGACCCATTGACAAAGAAATATATTTTTTTTTTTTCAACTAAATAATGTTTTTAGATTATGTTGGTTTATGTCTTTATCATGTTTGTATTTCTACACAATATGTTTATAATTAACCAAAATTAAAAGCCAAAATTCCCAGTGCTGGATTTAGGGTACTTGGGGCCCTAGGCCAAATTACTTGAGCGGCCGCCCTCCCCCTGTGGTGGAAATTATTTGCGATCGCGGAAGTAATTGTGAATATATCCTATGCATCAAGGGGACATCATCATCAACACCCGTGATCATAGATGAAATCGTGGACATCTCTCCTAAATCAAGTCAAAGCCATCATAGGTATCCGTGACCGTGGCAAAATCATGAACATCCCCCGCGGGCTGCAACAAATAAACATCATACTTGACACTCGAGACCGCGGCGAAATCGAGATCATATTCCGTGAGTGACCTTGAGGACATTATCACCATCACCCACGACTGCAGTGAAATTGTGAACATCTCCCGCGGGCCGCAATCACGGGGTCATCATCATTGATTCTCGCAACCATGGCAAAATAATCAACATCTCCCGCGAAAGAGCTGCAATCACGGGGACATCATCATCAATACTCGCGACCGCGGCGAAATTTTTAACATATACTGCAGGCCGCAATCACGGGGACATAATTTTCATCATCGACACCCATGGCCGTAGCGAAATTGTGAACATCTCCCGCGGGCCGCAATAACGGGACATCATCATCAACACTCGAGACCGCGGCAAAATTGTGAACATCTCCCACAGGCCGCAATCACGGGGACATCAATCAATCAAATATTCTTTATTCAGTAAGTTTAGACAATATGTCTTGAATAGCGTCATTAAACTAACATAAACAAAAAATTGGACATCATCACCGTCATTCCACGGCCGTCGCGAAATCATGAACATTTCCCCGGTCCGCATTAACGGAGACATCATTATCGTCACCTGCAATCACAGCAAACTGATGGTTAAAAAAAACATTTATCTAAAAAAAATTTTCAATCCTCTGCGGCCCCCTTTTACTTTAGTGGTAAATCCAACACTGAAAACACCCCCACCACAGCAAGCCTGTTGACTAAAAGAATTTTCACCTGGCTGGATATCCACTAAAGTATTCCCTTAAAATTTTCAGATTTATTTCCTACTTAATTTTAATGAGTAATTAGGTTTGCTGATAAAGGAAACGTATTGAGGTGTTTTTTAATTAAAATGTTTTTAGCTTAGTCATTGACTATATAAACACTAGTGTTTATATAGTCAATGGCTTTGTATGAAATAATCAAAAATCCATTAAAATATATCTATCTATGTATTAATACGCAAGCAGTTTTCTTTTCACAGTAATAGCTCGATAACGACTTGACGGATTTTAACGTTTGAGGTGTCAAATTAATGGTATTTTCACGTAGATGTGCAAATACTTTTCAGAGTATTAAGAAAGGGCATCACTTAAGTACAGTTAAGGGCTAAAGTTTGGGAACGGCGCCGCTATCTGTTGACATTAGATCAAACCATCAAACTCAATTCCCTTTGTTTACAACTAAACATATGGACGTAGCTTGAAATAGTTTTTAAGTTTAACCACAGACCGCAGGACTTATTTCGGAATTTTATATTTTATTTAAACATCTGTTAACTAAGTCTGGTTCATAAATAAAGAGTTTCCTAGCAAGACCTGACAACAAATAGTTTGTAATAGTTTAATTTATTTACCTTACATTGTATTTTACTGAATTATCATGTAGTTTTGGTTACAGTTTGGTGTGATTAGGTGAATGTTTGAAAGTGATTATTCACAGTCCAGTTACCCGTTACATTACCATATTATCATGTTATTTACAATGTGTATCAAAATTCCTTTGTAGTGTTTTCTGTTGATTGGTTAACTTTCGTGTTTTATCTAAATTTAAAATTAAATGCCACCAGTAATACGAAGAAATTTGAGTGGCTGGAGGGAACGCAAACGTGACCGCTTGCATCAACCTCCCAATTTGACGGATACAGAGTGTCAGTACTGCTGTGGTGATTCATCCAATCTCGGACAAATGAACGTTAAATGTTTACATTGTGGTGGCTAAACATTTTAAGCAAGGAAGACTGGCTGAGACAGTTCAATTTTTACTCTTTGTTGCCATAAATGAAAGGTTCTTTTACCTCATTTGTGGAATTCACCATACTTTCAGGAACTTATTGGAAACTCCCAATCTGAAAACAGGGCTATGTGAGGCTTGGATCCAGAAAGTATCTGGATAAAATTTGTCAATTCAATTCCACCTTTGCCATGGTCAGCTCTGAAGCTCATTTTGACGAGAGGGTCACACAGGGGATCTAAAATTTCAAGATCCATGACAAGTTTTACCAACGAGTAGGTAATATAATTCCTCAATAAGGGCATAGTCCTGAATACGCACAGATGTATAAGTACGACGTTGGGACTGGAATCCAACAGCGCATGTAAAAAAATTCATACAAAAAATGCAATGAACAAATTTGCGGGAAATAGGGTCACAATTTCAACCCATTTGCCCAATCTTTTAAAACTGTGGCAGAAGTTTGTAGGGACAAGAGCTCCGAGGAGTCAAGTTAGATTGTTATGTGCATAGTAAGATACAAAAGAAGTGACTTCCCTCGCTACAATGATGCTACCTGTATCGCAGATATTTTAAATCTGAAAACAGTAGAGCACCACCTGGCCAAATAAATCTTTGTTTATTTTTTTTTCAAAAACTAATAATGTTCGTGAATCCGATCTAGATACGTCGTTAAATCTACTCTTTTGTTCTCAACTGGAGACTTTGGTTGGGGCACCTAATTTAAACACGCCTAAAACTGAACAAATCGTAAAAATTATTTATCAATGCTGTAGTACGTGTCGTACTGGTTGGCGTCAAGAGAGGGATTAAGGTCTGAAAAGCTCACTTTACAGTGTGTGGTTGACATCTACGTTCTCATAGAGGGCACTCGCCTACAATACATAAGAGATAACCAAGGCAGTATGAGAACGGATCTATATTTAAATATTGTACCATATATTACTTTCATAATTTTTTCAGCATAATATTTTTCACGTTTCTACGAGTTTCAAGTCGTATAATCAGTCATTGAAATTACTTTAGAGTGACTCTATGATTGAGGTTTTGCTGTTTATGTTTTTTGTTCTTCATTATTTTATTACAAGTTGCAGTTTTGCTCGATTTTGAGCAACAGGTTACCTAGTAAACAAACAAACTACATCAGTTTATTTATTCTCCATAAACACAAGGGAATTTTTAATTACCACTTTTTTAAACGCTTCAATATACTAAATTATTTCTTTTTAAGGCTCTACAAAATGGTTTGGAAAGAAATTTCAAAATTTCATGTTTTTAGGGTCAAAAATAGGAAAAACCAATTTTTACCCCATAAAACTCTGTTACTATAGTCCAATCATGCTGGTTCGCGAACTCGTTCGAATAAATATAGGTTTACTTGTTTTTACCAAATTTCATCAAAATCGTATAACTTTTGCTCAAGTTATGGACATATAAATATGTATTGAATACATATATATATATTTTCTTAGTATTTACACCAATGAGGGCTATGTTTATACGTAAATTAAAATACCAAAGTACCCTGAAAACATTTTACTTTTCACCATGATATATACAGTCTAACCTCAAGTAACGAACCTCGATATATAACAAATTCCTTAATATAACAATTTTTTTTAATCCCCTAGAACTTTCCATAAGAAACAATGTAAATTTCACCACTATATAACGAATTTATGAATATCAGAACCTCTATAGCGAACTTAACCTCTACTTAACGAATCAACTGCGACATCTCTCGTTATAACAAACGGAAACAAACGCAATTCGTGTCTAGACATGAACACTCGGTTACAGCGTCTAGCTTCCTGTCCTGTTTTATTCCAGATCATTGCGTCTGTCAGTGGCAGTGGATTGTGCAGTTTGTGTGATTCAAAGATTATGAGTAAGAACAATAAAAAGAAACTGTGCGTGTTAAAGCGTGGATACTAAGCGTAAAATTATTAAGTGTGTTGAAGACAACCCAACAAAGAAAAATTTGGAAATTGCGAAAGAGTTTGGCATACCACCTAGCTTGTGGCTACAATTTTAAACACCCCTGCCGCAGCAAACCTGCCGACTAAGCGAATTTCCAGTTGCCTGAATTGATTTTCAATTAAATGTACTTAATTAACATTAGGTTTTATGAGTATATAGGCTTGCTGCTACAGGGAGGGTAAAAAAGTGTGTTTTTTTAGTAAAATATTAATAACTTAGAATAAAATAAATAAATGTACCAACATTGATCAAAATATATCCATAAACAAGCAAACTACAACATTTTACAATAATGTCCATAAGAATAACATGGGAATTTTAAAATAACATTTTTTTAATCTTCTCCGTAACCAATAATTGTACAAAAACACTTTGGTATAGGTACTAAATTATTTGTCTTTTTTTAGCTCTTTAAAAAGGTCTGGAGAGAAATTGGGAAATGTTGTGTTTAGAGGGTCAAAAATTAGAAAAACCAATTTTTACCACAGAAAATCCCCCGTAAGACTCCGTTCCCATGGCCCGATCATGCTGGTTCGCGAACTAATTCAAGTTTATCCCGCCTTACACCTTAAAACCAAATTTCATTAAAATCAGACAAAAATTACTCATTAATTACTCAAAAATTATGGTGTTCACGGACACATATATATTCTATAATATTTGAACTTGAACGAATGGTGTTTTTGGCCTCTGGGGACATCAAAATGAAAAAGTAAATCGGTCCCGGGCCTAGGTCTTACCATGCCACCTACGGTAATAGCTACTTCCCTATAGGGAAATTCTCTAAATGGAAAGACAAGTTCTACGACGGTGATCTGTGTTCGGAAATCAAAAGGTTGAAGTCGTGTGAGCTTAAAGATGTAGAGGAGTGTGTTCTCAAATGGCTGAAGCAGTGCCAGGACAAAAATATTGCAATAAGTGGTCCAATTCTTCAAGAAAAAGCCCAGCTGTTTACAAAATTTAATTATTTTCAGAAACATTTGCGGTGAAAGTGCTAAAGACGACGATAGTGTTTGTTCCAAGTGGAAAGAAAAGCTTGTCACGCTAACAGAGGGATACAAGCCAGAAAACATTTATAATGCAGACGAGACGGGACTGTTTTTTAAGTGTTTGCCGGACAAAACCTTGTCATTTAAAAAGGTTTTTATAAATGCCACGGCGGGAATAACAGAGAAGATCACATTACTGTAATGTTGTGCGCAAACTGCACGGGAAGTCACAAATTAAAGCCTCTTGTAATTGGGAAGTCAAAAAACCCACGCTGTTTTAAAAATCCGACTGATCTTCCTGCGGACTACATGGTGAACCTAAAGGCTTGGATGAACTGTGACGCTTTTACAAAAAGGCTCCGAAGTGTAAACAAAGAAATGAAAAACAAGAAAATTTTCATGTTTGTTGATAACTGCACGGCTCATGGAGACATTCCCAAACTCAGTAACATAAAAATCAAGTTTCTTCCCCCAAACACAACCTCGAAACTGCAACCACTCTACCAGATCATTATTTAAAGCTTTAAAGTGAATTACCGAAAAGAGGTTGTTCAACAGTTCCTGAGAGACATGGAAAGCAAACTTCCAACTAACATCAACATCTTGGATGCCATGTGGATAATGACAAAAGCATGGAGCAAGGTCAGGGAGAGCACAATTACTAACTGCTTCAGGAAGAGTGGATTTCACGTTCCGACCTCGGAAGACAATACAGCACAGCCTTCCGCTCAAGCCATCGATGCTCCTGAGCATTGGGAACAAATACAAGAAGTGCTCAATCTACAAGAGGACACACTTCAACGACGACCTGGCTGTGTGTGGAGAGTTAACCGATGCTGAAATCATCTTCTCTGTGACGTCAGACGAGAATGCGGATGTGGAGGAAGATAACGACGAAGAGGAACAATCTGAGTTGCCTGACCCAACTTCAAAAGAAGCTCATCAAGCTCTAAACTTGCTAAAATGCTTCTTTCTTTAAAAGAGTGGTTTGTCTGACAGTGTAGTTAAATCTATCACCGACCTGGACTGCGCCATGGACACGTTGAACATCACTGCACGTAAGCAAACAACGATAACTGACTTCTTCTTTAGTAATCAGAGTGGAAGTGGCCAAGTAAGTGAAGTAATTGACAATGCCAACTAAATCCTAAATTCAGATTTAGAATGTTGAAAATAGGTTAGGCCAGGCTTATTAAAATACAGTACTGTAGAAAAGATTTTGTTTCCTTTTAAATTACTGTAGGCCTACTTTTATTTTCTGTTGTTGTTTATATGGTACTGTACTGTATGTATTTTCTACTGTTTTCTTATTTCTGTTAAATTTAAAACATTTTCATGTCATTTAAATACTGTTAGCAAAAATGCACATACGCTCAACTCCCAATTATCCGGGATAGAGTAAAGTCGAGGCTTCCCGGAAACGTAAAATCGTGGTTTAATCAACAAAATATTAATTGAACAGAAAAGGGTCATTATTTGATAGGAATCACAATGAATAACACACATATTTAAACACAATGAAATAAACAAATTATGCAAAAAAATATGTAGGCTATAGTCTTTAAGATAAAATAAAATACAGTTCACTATTGACAAGACAAAAACTACCACAAATTACTTTCAGTTTTCTTTCTGCTTTTTAATTGGGAAACGTCTCTATCTGATTATAGCTTTCTTTTATGTTTCATAACACAGCTTTGTCTGCATTTGTAGAATTTCATTGCAAACGTATCGGGACGGGCAAGAGAGGAGAGGTCTATGACCTTGAGTAGGCCCGGCTCGAGACGAGTGATTTTTTTTTTTTTTTTTTTTTTTTTTTTTTTTTTTTTTTTTTTTTAAAAAAAGAGGTTGGCGGCCTCTTTTAACCTTGCATTTGCCCGTCCACATAGACTACAGATCTGTGCGTGGAACGTATCCAGCAAAGCAAGGGGTGAGCCGGTACAGTACAAAGGTGAACTGTACTGATAAAAGTTTGTGGCAGTGACCAGGATCCGAACCCACGACACTGCTGCCTTGGGCCCGAAGTCCGCGACGCTACCAACTGAGCCACCGACTCACCAAACAAACGTAGACTATGTGGATTTATGTGGTGTTTATGTGGATTTATGGTTTGTTTACCTACTAAGGCTCCCTACCTAGAAAGGACTGCTGTTTTAATGTTTAAAGTTAGTACCCTGCTATTTTAACAAAATTGACCCAACTTGTACGAAAACATTGACTTGAATTATAAAAGTCTCTGTCTGCGTTTAACTTAGCTTAATTTTCTTAGAATATGTCCCGGTTATGCTGCGACGCGAATCATCCGTTTACGGTTAGAAATCGGGAGGTGAGTGTATTAAAATGTATTAACTGTATAGCCTGTGTTAGAACCAGACTTTTTGTTTTGAAGTGTACTTAAGTAGTATATTCTACTTGACCATCCGTGGTAAAATTATGATTTTATGAATACTGTACAGTGCATACGAAAAAAATAAATCAATGTTATATACCAAGAATGGTAGTATTATCTAATCTGCAACTTTTAAAATACAGTTAGTAGCATATGGTAAATGCGTTTTAATGACTTCACACCTCGACCAACATTTACCGATGCTGTTAGTGAACCTCGACATAGCGAATTTCTTACAAACCTAACCTCTATATTATAACGAACCTCGATTTAACGAAATACTTGATATAACAAATATTTAGTTCGGTCCCTTGAGATTTGTTATACCGAGGTTTGACTGTGTATGTATATATATATACAGTAGACTCCCTCTTATCCGGACACCTTTTAACCGGACATCGGATTAACCGGACTACACTCGGCGGAAATGACATCTGTTTAACCGAACAATTTTTATCAGCACATTGGTTTAACCGGACTAGATCGGCAGGAAGTGGGCAGTACTGAAACGACTGTTCTCTTGGGAAAGATTTGAGACCAGTGATCACGTGTCTAAATACAATGCTCTCCTAAATTTAAGTCGAATATCACAGTAAACAGTCTGTTTTAATGAGTTTTTGGGGACGTCGGTTTAACCGGAAAACCCGTTATCCGGACTGGCCTCGGTCCCGAGGAGTCCGGATAAGAGGGAGTCTACTGTATATATATATATATATATAAGCATAAGGGTTCATTAGATTTATATTTATTCAACCCAAGACAAAAATCTTAACTAAAGTAGATTAGAAACCAATCCACATTTCTTGATACCATAGTTTGGTACACATCCAAACAAGAGCTTTATTCCCAAATGTTAAATGGCCATTTTTCAAATTCCAAAACCCCAATGATTTTCGAGATATTTTGTAATAAGCTACCTGCGTCTGATGAAAATTCATCATAATGATCGCTGTCGTCTTCAGAGTCGAAACTTTCATCAAGTGAAAAGTCATGAGATTCAGGACTCAATACGCCACCTAGAATCATACATTAGTAAAAAGGATTATTGTTACTTTCATAACTCATAACAAAAGTACATATGGGAGACAATTAATTTTAAATACTAAAATCACAAAATTGAGATTTTTCCAATACTTTGCATCCACATTTTAACATCTTTGGTTAATTTTTATTTGAAAATCATGCTAATGGTTAAAGTTAAGTTTTAATTTTAAAAAAACCTTTTAGACAATAACAACTAAGAACCACAGAGAACTAAATAAGAATAGAGTAGATGTCCCAATATGAATGGCATTGAGACAGTTGAGGTAAAGTCAGCCATTTTGGCTGTGGAAAGTTCTCCCGTCGCCGCATTTTATTCCGACTCTTGTTAGAGAAAGTGATTTTCTTAAACTAAGATTTAAATTATTTGCGATCATCCAAACGACTTGAAACTTTGCAGGTTTATACTGCATAATACAGAACGTGTAATGAAAAATATTTAATTTATATTTATATTATTGGTAAAACTAGTTTTAAACATGAATTAAAAAAGTAAATCAGTAGAATGACATGAAAACTCGACTACTACTTTTTTAATGTTTTGGTCAGGTAAGTTTTGTGAGAAAGTTATAGCCAATGAAATGAACTTGAAACATCAAATTCAAAATTAAATTCTCTTTATTCATTCACTGCACAAGTTTTTATACAATGAATAGCGTCAAATAAATATAAAGACGAATTATGCCTTACTTATCGCCAAAACAATCATTATCTTTAAAATACAAATGTTAAGCTTAAGAAGAATAAACAACACAAAATTAAATGAAATCATCTTTTTAAACTATCATTTATGATTTCTCCTCTATTTATCAATTCCAAAATTCATCCAAAGAATACAAAGACAATGAAAGGAGATAATTTTTCAATCTTTTTTAAAAACATCAAAACTTTTTTCCTCTATTATAATTTTAGGTAAATTAAATAAGAATTTTATGCCAATGAAACTACATTTCTTAAAAAAAAAAAAAAAACTTTAATTTATGTCGTTCAACCTGCCTAGTAAGCCTTAATTTATAGTGTAGAATATTTGTACTATTAGTTTGGAGGTTTAATTTTTTTACATGTAGTATAGTTTCATAAATATACAAGTCATAGACTGTCATAACACCTAATTTAGAAAAGAATGGTTTTATTGATTGGTGTTTATTTTTAATTTTGAAAATAATTCGGAGTACTTTTATTATGATGAAGAATTTTATCCAAATTTTTCTGAGTAGTTCCTCCATAAATTGCTATACCATAGGATATGTGAGAATTTATTAATGCAAAGTATATGGTTTTTAAAGTATCAATATCACACACCCTTAGTATTTGTCGCAGGGCATATGTACCTTTTGACATTTTATCAATTACATGCTTAACATGCTTATCCCAATTTAGGTTTTGATCCAATATCAATCCGAGAAATTTTATGTACTCCACTTGACTCAACTTTGAATTATCAAGGTAAATATTCGGGTTCAATTTAGATCTTGATTGTTTTGTGGAGAATGATATAAAATTTGATTTGATATAAATATGATATGGTACTGTAATTTATTAGGAGATTTTTGCAACTTGAGAAATAACTCATATTTACATATTTTACATCATCTCATATCTCATATTTACATCATATCAACTTTTCTTTCTAGCGGTTACAGTTTTCTCCGTAACCAATAACCGTACAAAAACACTTTGATAAACTTTATTTGTTATTTTAAGCTCTTTAAGAGGCTCTATAGAGAAATTGGGATTTTTTCGTTTTGAGGGTCAAAAATGAGAAAGACCAATTTTTACCCCATAAAACCCCGTTCCCATGGTCCAATCATGCTGGTTTGTGACTCATGCCTTACATGTTCAAACCAAATTTCTTCAAAATTGGACAAAAATTACTCAAGTTATCGTGTTCACGAACACACATATATGTAAATAAATAAAAGTTCAAAGGAATGGTGTTTTTGGCCTCTGGGGATATAAAAATGAAAAAGTGAATCGGTCCCGGGTAGTGATGTCTCGAAACCAAATCTCAAATCTCAAAACCATCAAAACTTTGGAAAAAACTTTGGTTTTGGTTTTGAGATTTGATAGGTGGTTTCAAGATTCAAAAGTTTCTAAATAGGAAGTTTTGGCACTTAAATTTTTTAAATGATGAAATTTTTTGTGTCATTATTATTGTTTATAACATTGTTTATACAGAAAAGCTGGTAGCAACGGAGCAAACACATCTCCATTAACACTGTCACTAATGAAACAAGTAAATTGTATTCTGAACTGCAAAAGGCATCTTAAATACTGGAACAACTTACAATTCAGTTTCATATCGATACTTATTAAACACAAAGAAATATTGACCACTAAATGTTCTAATTAATGTAATATTCATGTTTATTTCAATGTCAAGAGTTTTATTTATTATTTTAATGTTGGTTGTTTATAAAAAAATATGTTATTTTTTGGAGTTTGAAATTTATTTGTCACATATTTATGTTCTTCTGTCTGGATCAGGAGTCAATCTCTTTCAGTTTTGATCGCATAATAATAATGAAAATGTTATCATTACCTGTATTTTTTTTAGCAACCTTTGACCAGGTAAAGTTTCGGTTTTGGTTTTGAGATTAAAAATTTCTGGTTTTGACCATCACTAGTCCCGGGCCTAGGTCTTACCGTGCCACCTACGGTAATAAAATTTGAAACAAATAGATGCTCATAATCTAAACAAATAGACCTCTATCTCCTAACAAAAATGATGTCCTATTCCTCAAACAAGGGAGTTTTGTTGACAGTCATACGTTTGCTAAAAAATTTAAAACATTCAATCGTCAAGATTAACCACAGGTGACCTGTTATTAGGTTTTAACTACCTTTTAACTACCATGGATATTAAATGTTAGTAAACCAATTAAACCATACCACATACCAGTAGAAAGTGATGACGTAGAGCCACCCTCCGCCAAGGAGCTAGTAGACAACAGGTGAGGACGAGGTTCTCTGCGTTGCCAGATCTGCTCAAGACCGAGGTGAGTGGGAGCAGAGGAGGAGAGGCGAGACTGTGAATACCTTGGGTTGCGAATCACTCCTCCCATACTAGATGATGGCCCTGGGACAGACTGGCCTAGAGGGGAACTCATTTCCTTCTTCATCAACAATTCGTGCAAAGTACTGTGTTTATGCTGTAGAGGACTGATGGGCTTGGGAGGAGGGGTGCCCGACGACGGAGCTGAATGGACCTGAAGTGATGAGCTAGAACTGTGGTGACTAGAAGGAGATAAGTTCTTCTGGTAAATGGGTGTACAACTAAATGGATTGGAAGGTACACTGGATGAAAATGAATCTTTATAAAATCCTATTCCATCAGGAGGAAAAGAAGAGGCACAATTCTGTCCCATAACTGTCGGTGTTGAATTGGTTACCAACAAAGAAGGGCTGACTCTTGTACTCAATGGCTGTTGAGGTATTTGATTGTACACATTTTCATCTGGCAAAAGGAGTTCATCAAAATTCAAATCGTCCAAATCATTTAGTCCAAGAGTTTCATCATTGGCATTGAGCTCAGCGAGTGTAGGTCCTTGAATCAGATCTGACTTATCTACTTGGAAAATATCATCATCTTCCATTTTTATGGGATCTGAATCAGGTCCTGCTATTTTAGTCCCCCAGAGTGCATTTCCGGAGTATATAATAGGATTAGGTGAGTTAATTTCTTGAAACATATCCATGTTACTGCTTGATGATCTATTATTGGCCTCCAATTCAAAATCTCTTAGTTCGGACATATCCATAGCCCTTCTTGTTGGAATAGGTACACTTGCAGTGTGTAATAATGAATCCAAACCCAATGAGTCTGGCTCCGGCTTCATGGCAAAGTTTGAGTCGATAAAAAAATCACTTGAAAAGCCTTGATCAGTCATTGTGGGTATACAATGTTGTGTACTTCAAGAGCGTTATCTTGTTATTTTAAACTTGATAATTACATTTTCTTTCCTGAAAAAAAAAAACAATACAGTAATACCATTGACTATTGATAAAAAAGCTGGTTACATGTCTAGGGGATGAAATGTCTAGTTGTATTGATAGTCATAGGTAATACTTTGTTATATACATTTAAAAAATAATTGGGCTTGATAAAATACCGTGTATTAAAATTTATTTAACAGCATTCCAAACTTTTAATTAGAGTAATTTATATACTCTTTAAGTTATCATTCTTTTGGGTAGGTAGGTAAAGAATACTTCAAAGAAAAACTGAAATTGACTTTACGTCGTTATGCTTTAGCCTAGAAATGCATTTGGCTTCAAGAGAGTTAACAAGAAATAATAGAGTTTAGGGGGCAAAAAAAGAAGATAGGGAGAAGTGGGGCAAGTGGAACCAGGTTATACCGTAGTTCGACTTTGACCCTAATTGGCTCAATCAATATTAGGCCCTATACAAAAAATTGTAAAATTAGTTGTAGGCTACAATGGCTACATAAACTAAGTAAGTGATTTTACAACTAATTGTCTTTATAAAAAACTAAGGTTTATTTTGCTAAAAAGTGTCTTCAGATAAATAAATAAAAAGAGTTTTTGTTTATGGTTCCAATTCTCTCACCATGGGGGCAAGTGGAACCTGCTCTCTGTATTCTTACACAGATGCGTTGAGAGGAATAAGGGGCAAGTGAGTCTTTTAGAGAATGTTGCTGCAATTCTGGGAGTTTTTCTATTTTAATGTTATATCCATCCATATCTAAGTTACTTTTTTTCGTAGTTTTTGGGGTACAATTTCCTAAAGTACAAGGAAATTAAAAATTTCAAAACCTTATTAAATTTGAAAATTAAAACATATAAATACTAGGATTGCTTTCAATAGCAATGAAAGCCAGTTGAGCGGAGCAATCATGGTTCATGGTTTTTAATAAAACAATAAGTGAACAAATGTTTATAGGTATAATAGGTACAAAATACAAATGTCCCCACACTCTGCACTGCTAGCCTTTACTACTTCCTTCACCACTTCCTACGTCGAGGATCTGTTTCCCTCCCTTACCATAGCATTTTAATACTTAGATACATTAATCTAACTGCCCCTTAGCGTTCCCACACCTTGCACTGCAAGTCTTTACAACTTCCTTCACCACTTCCTTGAGCAAGCATAACAATAGATAGAAATTTGGTAACAATAACAATCGATGATATACTACAAGAAAACATGCGACTAGATAACAATAAAAGATAATACATACATAAAGATTTTGTGATTTTTTAAAGTTATGGCACTAATTTTTAGTTTTACTATATAAATCCTTTGCGAATGATTTTAATTATTTAGTTTATAATTTTTTGTTTATGTTAGTTTAATGACGCTATTCAAGACATATTGTCTAAACTTTATGAATAAAGAATATTTGATTGATTGATTGATACATCAATAGTACATGCAATAGCTATACACCAGTAATAGCAGAAAATGATGATTAGAGAGATAAGGTAACATTTGACAAAAAATGTAATATCACACAAGACCTGTACAACTAAATCACAGCAGAATGAGATCACTGTTCCTCAAGAACCGAAGACGCAATTCTCTTGATAACCCGTGGACCGCAGTCAAAGAAGTCCACATAAGGACAGAGCCGATAACCAAGTCGATGAAGTCCAGGCAGAGGGCTATAAAGTTCATAGTTTGTGGAACAGTGTTGGCGAGCAAACAGCACATTGGATCGAGTGGATCTAGGTGGGGGAACATGGGTCAATCAGCGCAAGCCGATCAGGGCAGTTGATTCTATCTAGAACACAACCACCCGCTGATTGATGCACAGCATGGCCTTAGGAGGAGTAGATCAACTACCAGTACCTTACTCAGCCTTATGAACACTATAATAGAGATGCATTTGAACATAAGTCTTCAGTCTTGCTAATTCTATGCGACTTAAGCAAGGCGTTTGATTGATGTAGTGTCACATAATGTGCTTATTTAAAAAATGACAGAATATGGAATTGGTGGTACAGCTCTAAAAACAGTTTCTAGCTATCTTGCTAATAGAAGACAGCTGGTTACGGTAAATGGGGCCTCGTCCAGTATTAAAAGTTTAACCCATGGGGTACCGCAGGGTTCGGTGATTGGGCCGCCGCAATTCTCGATCATATGATTAATGACGTTTGGCTTAATGGCTCTACAGTGCTTTTTGCAGATGACACCACGCTCATATCTAGAGGGTGTGATATTCTACGATTACGGACTGAAGCCCAAGATCTCCTTGAACAGGCCAAAGTGTGGTTCAATATGAACAAACTCAAGCTTAATGACGAGAAAACCAAGTCGATCTGTGTACTCTGAAGATGGATGCAAGGGAGGAAAGTGCTGTTAAGCTATTGGGTTTTTGGATTGACCCGAAATTAACCTGGAATCACCATCTCAGGTATGTGTCAAGTTGTCTAGAGTGTGTCTTCTCTTCTCAGAGAGCTCAAATCTGTGTTGACTAAGTCACATTTGGTAACTGTCTACCAAACGCTCTTTCACAGCCACCTTGCGTATGGGATTGTGGTCTGGGGACATTCAACAGATACTCAGGACCTACTACTTCTTCAGAAGAGGGCCGTTAGGATTGTGTCCAATTCTGGCCAATTTGACTACTGTAGGCCTTTATTCATTGACTTGATGATCCTCACCGTTTTCAGTCAGTACATCTACAGCTTCTTAACTATGCTAAGAGTAAACCTTGAAGATTTTAGGAAAAGAGGGAGCCATCATGACCACAGTACCCGTAGAGCTGGTGATTTGGACATACCCCGATGTCGTCTTGGTATGACACAGCGAGCCTATCCTCAGTACGACCACAACATCATTGACTAACAGGGAGAATGGCCCAAGATGAGAGTCCTGTGGCACTCCAGAGAGAGCAACAAAAGAAACAATGCATCCTTGAATTTAACTTTGAGAGATCTGCCACTCAACTACGAGCTGAACCATCTGAGTAGACTGCCACTGATCCCGTACCCCTCCAAATTTGCGATAAGATGATCATGGCTGACAGTATCAAATGCCTTTGAGAAGTCCAAGTATATGCATTCAACCTGGCTTCCTGAAGCTAATGCAGAGGTGACTAGAGGAGACGATCTCCCCGCTATAAATCCATGCTGTTCAGGGATCATCAGAGATTGTAGGTGGAACATAAGTTTGTCAATGAGAAGGCACTCAAAAACTTTGCCCAGAGCAGGTTTAATAACAATTGGCCGATAATTTGTGACCCTCCCTTGGACTTCTCGCCTTTACTACTTCCTTCAGCCCTTCCTACGCCGTGGACCTGTTTAAGTATGCTATTTATGAGATGGATCCATGAATATGATTCCCCGACGAATTGTTTAAGATAAAATGTTATTTGTTATAAGTTAACCTTATTTAGCTACGTAAATCAATCTGGTAAATACTGTACCTAAGAAAGTATGTTTTATCTATGATTCTACCTATTCGATCAGTGGTCGTTTCCAAATTGGGAATTAAATGTAAACTTAAGACTTTATCTGTGGTATTTGATCAGTTGTCATCAACCAAATTTATTCCTTTGTACTGTATTAAGGTCGTGGCTGGATTTCAACATATGCTATCATTTTTTGTTTTGTTTACATTTACGTCGTTATTTTGTAACCATCATGACAACCCATAAGACCAATGTTAAAATTTAAAAACTTTGAGTTACTTTAAAATTATATAGGCATTATCAAAAATTGAAATTGGTTACGTCTAAATCATCCAAACATTTGACAAAACAACCTTGGTAAGATTGGCTAAAATATGTTCAGCCGTTATTAAGATTAAGTCTTATAAAGATTGCATTGAAGTTGATCCCAAAGAGCTTCGCTTCGCTCCTCAGCTGTTCAAGGGGACTACAGTTTATACTGTTAATACTGTTCAATGAAATGGCGACCATACATAGTAGGTATTTTAAGCCAAGTATGAATGGAGATGAGTGTAGGATGAGTGGTGCGATCTTGTAGTCTTGTTAGTGACTAAGGCCGACATTCCTTAGACACAGCTGTTAATTAATAGCCCATAAAGCAAATGGCAACTAAGGGACCTACAGTTTATAGAGGAATCCGAACCACATTTTTGCCTTGTAATTAACAAATTAGTCTAATTATCAGGATAGCACAAATGGATAACGTGTGATAAATTAAATGTAAAACCTCCTTGAAATATCCTCCTGAGCATTATATAAGGTCACGAGAGTAAGGGGAGAGTTGAAACCCTTTGTTGATCTGAGGATGAATCCAATCAGAGAGTTTGCTCTTGCAGTGATGTGCGTAATGTGCTCCATTGGATTTAGTGATGATGTCATAATAACTCCCAGATCTTTAACTTTGGAAACCCTCTTTAGAACTGAATCATTGATTGTGTAGTTGTGAATTAAGAAGTCCGAACCCCGTTTGAATGAGATAACTACACATTTGTCGACATTCAACTGCATAGCGTTATTTTTGCACCAGTCTTCAATGTTGCTGAGGGAGTTTTGGAGATTAATTTTGTCACAGTCACTTGACATCCTGCTAAATAACTTCATGTCATCTGCAAACATGAGAAATTTTGATCCTATTACAAACTTGATGTCATTAATGAATAGGCTAAAGAGTAACGGGCCAAGGTGGGACCCTTGAGGAACACCAGACAATACTTTAAATGGGCGTGATGAGCTGCCATCGCACTTAACAATAAGATGTCTTCCTTTTAGGTAACTATCAATCCATTTAAGCAGGGAGCCACAAACACCATAGCCACCAAGCTTAGCTATCAGAAGGTGATGATTGACTTTGTCAAATGCCTTTGACAAGTCAAGATAAATGCAGTCTACTTGGCAGGAGTCAACGAAGGCACCCATGATAACATCTTGAAATTCAAGTAGGTTGGAGATGGTGGATCGGGAGCGAAGGAAGCCATGTTGCTCAGGAGAAATGCATTTACGCAAATTAAAATAAAGAAAATCCAGTACTATGCTCTCGAAGACCTTCGCTATTGCAGATAAAATTACAATGGGTCTGTAGTTTTTGGCTTTATTCCGATCGCCTGTTTTGAAGATGGGGACGACATATCCTATTTTAAGGCTGTCAGGAAATACTCCGGTTCTCAGCAGAGCCTTGAATAGTATAAATAAGTGGGGTGCAAGAATAGGTGCACAGTGTTAAAGTATAAGGGGAGGAATATTGTCTGGACCAGCTCCTTTGTTTGGATCGAGATTTTCAAGCTTACGCTGTACGTCCATTGGAGAAAATAAACACTGGGAGATGCAGAAGTTCCAACCAAAGTCAAAGGAAGGGACAGCAGGGGACGCATCACTGAAGACAGATGAGAAGTGGTTTGCAAATAGCTCACATGTGTCCTCCGCAGACTTGGCCACTCTAGAGCCAAGGGCCATATTTGATGGAATTGTTGGGCTGCGTTTAAGACTGCCAACATGTGACCAGAAGGATTTTATGTTGCTTGGAATATCGTCTTCAACCTTTCTCGTGTAATCAGTGAAACATTTCCTGGCCATGTCTTTACATCTTCTCCTCAACTCTCTGAACACTTCAAAGTGATTAATGTTGAGTGATGTTTTGTATAGCTTGTGGGCAATTTTCTTCTTTATCACGAGTTGTTTGAGATCCTTAGAGAACCACTTAGGAAAAACTGCGGAAGATACTCTTTTCACTGGAGTGTTAGCACTGACGATTTCGTTGATGTTGCGACAGAATTCATCAAATGCGGGAACCACAGCCGATGAGGGATCCAACAAGGGAAGATTCAGCGTTTGCAGTTTGTGGAAAACAGCATCAATGTTGCATTTGCGGTAATCACGCAGAAATCTGACTTTTTTTGATAGAATAGTCGTGTGAGGTTTAAGCTGTACGGATAAACAAGGATGGTGTATGTCTTCAAGTAGTAATGCCTCCTCCGCTGCAACAACTTCACTGGATGAGATGGAAGTAAATACTAGGTCAAGTATAGCTCCCCGATAGTTTGTAACCGAGTTAATTTGCTTTAAAGAATGTAGGGTAGCCATACTGGTTAAGCAGCGAGATGACTCGGAACCTGTCAAGACGTTCGGGTCAGTAGCATTTACAGCTTCAGGAAGATTGAAGTCACCTAACAAGATAATCTTTTCGTGTAGTCCAGACCAAATGATTGTCTCATCAACGACATTGCAGAAGTCCGAGTAGATGGAGGCGGGTTGACTTGGTGGAATGTAAACACATCCAACGAGGAAACTGCTGGCCGAAGATGAACAGGAAACGAATAGACATTCTAAGGCACATTCAGGATTAGTTAGAATATTCACACTTGAAATTGTTGCTGAGTTGCTGATATCATTAGTTAAGTTTGTCTCCACTAAGGCTATTATATCGTAAGAGGACGTTGAAACGTTTATAGAGAGCTCAGTCATCTTTGATCTAAGTCCATTGACATTCTGAAAATATACATCTAGATTTAATGGTGCTCCATTGGGATTTGAGAGTTTTTTTGAGGTTTGGGGTTGTTTGTTATTTGAGGAACATTATTAATGTATCTCTGATTGTAAGTCCCGTTTCACCACGTGCTTTGTGTTCGTCTAACTCGGAATTCAGGGACTTAAGGTGATTTAACTCACGGGGAGTCCTGTCTCTTGACAGTTTTACTGATGCAAAGACCGGGTCGATTTGGGCTGCAGATTCTGGGGAGAAATTACCAATGACTTTAGACACGTCGAAGGAGTTAGACATAATAACCTTGAGAGGTCTTTGTTTACCCTGTAGCTTTTTCCCAACTCGAAACAGCTTGATGTCTCCGGGTGTAAAGTCAGCTAGTATGTTTGATAGGAGTTTGTTGGTGAGATCTAAGTCGTGAGCCTTCTTCATATCTACATTTTTATCGCCAGACTCGACCAAATTAAGAATCATAAGGTTCCTAGAGCGCCGAGCACGCTCATTCATCTCCGCTATTGCCACTTCGACTGTATTGGAACTATCACTGGACTTGACAGCATCAATCTTCTGCTCAACAGTTGTGATTCTAGATTCCACACTTTCAACACGGGGTTCGAGAGCTAAAAGGCCAGCTCGTATACCAGATACTTCAGTTTTTATATCAACAATATCCCTCGAGATTTCTTCAATTTTATTAACTCTATACGCTTATATTTGGTTAATATATAAGCGTAAATATATGTTTTAAGTGTTATAAGACGTCTCTTTATTTACTTTCCGCAAATTTAATAACACGTAGGTACAATGCTGATCAAGAAGTTATTTAGATATTTAACCTACAGTACAACATTCCTTTACTTATTGCTTAACTTATTTATTTTATAACTATTATCAGCTGGTTGTAATGTTTACTTTCTTCACTTTGTTTTTAATTTGTGTTGAATAAAGTTGGTTAAAACTGTACTTTGATGAATACATTTAATTTGTTCTAATAACATACAGAACAATTTGGTGACGGTGGAGTTGAGTAGGCCTACAAGGCTACAAGTAATTCAAATACCTCTCAAAACATTCAACATTCAAATGATTAACTCAGCATTGATTGGACCCTTTAACCCTCCAAGTGTCCATAGTTTAGGCCTTAATGTCCACCTATTTTTGGCGCATTTGCAAGGTTTTATTAAAATGGATCTGAGAAGCTTAAAACAATGTTAATTCTAATGTTCTATATACCATTTTGTTTGGAAAATCATGGGCTTCAATATCATACATAAAACATAAGGAATATTTGTTTCAACAAAATTTTTTAGGTAAAAAAGAAAATTATTTTGGAAAAATTGAAAAAAAAATAAGTTTGCGCTCAATGAAATTGTATAAATTATAGGCCTATAAATATTTGAAAATAGCCACTTTGTTCTAAATTTTATGAGGATTACAAATATATAATAATATAAGGAAGTAGATTTGCAAATAAATAAGTTATGGGCAAAAAACAGATTTCAGTACATAGCGTTTTTTTAGCTAAGAATGCATAGCCTAACCATAGCTAGGAATCTGGCTGATAATTTACATCAATATCACTACCTACTTCTTCAGGATCATCAACCAGCACTTCAAAACCACTTAAATCTTCTTATAATGCACCACGTATATCACTACTTTTGATTTTTAACACTAAAACAATGATAAACGTAATGAAACACATCAGTCATCGGTCCGAGGGTAACCTAGCTGTTTACAAATACACGCACGTCAGCTGTCTGCTACAATTACGATCGGCTCGGAGAACATACAGCGCTGAGACAGACCTCTGGAGAAAGCTTAGAATATAACGGAAAGAACGATACCCGATACCTAACTCGATCCAGTTCAATCCGATTCAGTCAGTCATAGAGCCTTCGCTGTAAACGATGTCTGCGTGTCGAAAAATCGACAAGTAACACTACACAAAGTGTGCTGCTTGTCGAATTTTCGTCAAGTAACACTGGGAGGGTTAATGAAAGATGTGAAACTTGGGAAATGTATGGAAAGACTAGAGATATCATTTAGTTATAACAACATTTCTGAAGATAAAAAGAAAATAACATTAGGCTACTTCACTGACGTTCAAAAAGAGCACATAAACCCGTGGATAGACTCAATTTATGAAGCTCACTTAAGAAGGGGAGGTGTTACATCCTAAATGTCTTCCTTTAAATTGCTTATTCATTTTATAACTATTATCAGCTGGTTATAATGTTTAAGTTTACTTCTTCACTTTGTTTTTAATTTGTGTTGAATAAATTTGGTTAAAACTGTAGGCCCTACTTTGATGAATAAGTTTACATTTAATTTGTTCGGTACTTTCCTGTTAAAGGGAACATTCATTATTATCGATGATTTTTTCTCGATATAGGTATCGATATTTTAATTTTCCGATCCATTAAGTTACAAATTGACAACTAACTGATCTTGTTTAGGCTAAAATATTCTAAGCTAACCTAACATAACCAACCAAACTTGCTGGACCATTTAAAAATGCCGTTTGGGTTTGATAATAGAAAAGGCAAGTTAAACACGGAATTTGTAAATGTTATAGCAAGTTTGGTTAGTTATGTTAGGTTATTTTTTTTAGAACAGTTTTATTTCATTATTGTTTGTTGATACTGAACAATATTTATCGCGTAGTTGTCAGCTGATATGTTTCAATTTGTTACTATCGATATATCGAGAAAAAATCATCGATAATAATGAATGTTCCCTTTAACAGGAAAGTACCATTTGTTCTAATAACATGGTACAGAACACTAAGGAACATGATTAAGTTACCCTAGAAAACATTACAGTAGGCCTAGGCCTTTTTTATTGTTAATTTACATTTAAACGTAGCCTACAGCTTCATTTTGATATTGGTAGGCTAGGCTAGCTACAAACTTTTGATCAAAGACTTACTTACAACTAGCCTAGTACAATACAATAGTGTCCTTAACTTAGTAAGGAGCTGGTAAACAAATGAGACTTGCTTCATTTATAAGGGCCTCTCTTTGGTATTGTTATAATTAATTATGATTGCATAATCAATAGACCTAGGCCTCTATGAGCTAATTTTTTATTGAACTTAAGCTTATTAGGTTTGGCCGTGGAATCTAAATATTATGTCCAATGACGGGAATAGCCTACAAATTCATTGTCACGACGTTGTTTACTAATACCTAGTACCCTTAGGACGTAGGCTAACATTATCATAGGCCTTCCGTACACTGACAACTTGGGATAACCACAATCAGATTGAGACCATGCCACCAGGATTCTAGCCTATATAACGGTAGCACACAAGCTAGATCAGACCTTAGAAGTTAAATCGATAACAAATTCATATTGAATGATTTTGCTTTTAATTTCCGCCCAGTGATCAAATTGTTAAATCAGACGATTCGCCAATAAACTTCCCAATTTACTAACTGACCTAACATTCCTAATATCACTTAAATATTCATTAAACTGAAGCAACAAGAAAACGTCAGCCTCTCACCTTTGTCATTGGCAAAAACAAAAGCATGAGGTTATTGGTTTATCACAGTTTTCTCACAACAACAAACAGCTAGTTACACCAACTCTCAACATGACACTCACTACTACTGCTACTGCTGCTCATCATAAGTCTAAGTCTAAGTCATAACACAACAGACTACGTAAACAAAAACATTCTATTATGTCAAAGGTCGTGTTGGTGGTAAATAAAATCAATTATTACTGTAGATCAAGATCACGTGTGGTAAACAGGCTTTTGGGTATTTGACGCTCACAATGCTGCTGACATCAAACTTAGCATACTATAAAAAATATCATAATATGACTAATGATGACATGACCCTACGCTTTGGACCATCAAAATATATTTTTACCTCGTTTATCTTCGGTAGAAGCTGTTGGTGTAAAACATCGCCTGTATTGGGCCAACTGTACAAACTGTATTGGGCCATTCTCGACAACCTAACTGCACGTCACTCCTTGGAGCAAGTAAATCACGTCGAGAACCATAGAAATGTTAGTCTGGATCTGGTCTTTACTAATCAGAGCCTTGTTTTGGTTGCTCCAGCAGAAGACGAAATTGCTAGGCCGGACATACATCACCCTCCATTGTCTTGGTCTCTTCATAATTGCCATACAACACAGATTCCACAATATAGCACCGTCCCCAACTTAAGAAAATGTAACCTTGAAGCTGCTTCACTCATGCTCGCTACGACCAGCTTTGAACACATATACAATCATTGTTCCGATGTTCAGGCAAATTTTAAGTGGTTGATCGATATGTTAGGAGACATCTGCGTTAAATGCAGCCCCTTAAAACGGATTGGGACCTCTCCATTTCCCAAGTGGTTTTCAAAAGACCTCATAAATCTTATTATAGAGAAGAAAAAAGCTCACCGGCGATACAAATCTACCCTGCAGCCTGCAGACTATCACACTTTCTCTGTACTGCGTAACAACTGCAAGGCACTGAGTCGCACCTGCTACAGAAACTATCTCATCCATGTGGGTGATTCCATCCCAAATAATCCTAACAGCTTTTGGAGTTTCGTCCGTTCCACGAGGGATGCACCAACTTTTCCAACTCATGTCTCCTTAAACGGACACACGACAAGTGACTATAATGAGATGGCTAACATGTTCTCTGAATTCTTCGCCTCTGTTTTTTCCCAGCCTGTCGCAGCTGACCACTTTTTTACATTTGAAAGCAACTCAGCATTATCGTCAATTACGTTCACACCACCTGAAGTCATGGAAGCCCTCAAAAACTTGAATATTGATAAAGGAGCAGGCCCTGATAACATCCCCCCTTCATTTCTAAAGTACTGTCGAACTACTCTTGCGAATCCATTGACCTATCTCTTCAACTCCTCTATCCAAAAAGGAATTTTCCCACACGTACTAAAAGTTGGTCATATAGTCCCAATCCTTAAGAGTGGAAACCCCTCAGAAGTGATCAACTACAGGCCAATCAGTATACTGCCGTCAATCGGAAAGGTGTTTGAGATGCTGGTTTTGTCAAGATTCAAGCCATTTCTAAGGCCGCTTATTAGCCACAGTCAGCATGGGTTCACTACTTCAAAGTCTACATCAGTTACCAACCTCCTACTTTTTGAAAATTATATCCTATCAGCCATGAAAAATGGGAGACAAATGGATGTCGCCTTCGTTGATTTTGCGAAAGCATTTGATAAAGTGGACCATGGTATACTCATTGCTAAACTCGAAGCCTATGGAGTTGTTGGGCCACTCCTTAACTGGATGAGGGACTACCTTACAGGACGCCGCCTGTGTGTTAAACTGCCTCACTCCAAGTCGCTAGAATTTGTCCAGACTTCAGGAGTCCCACAAGGCTCTCTACTTGGTCCATACTTATTCATTGCGTTCATCAATACTAATGCAAGGCTAAGGATTGATCTGTGTAGTAGGATTGATCTGTGTGTGTAGGAGCCTCTGTGTACTGTAGGCTATTTTATATTTGTTGTATGTATATGTTTAATGACCTTGTCGATGTACTGAGGGTGGACACACTGCTCTTTGCCGATGACGTTAAGATCTTTACAGAAGTGTCAAGCTATGAGGATGCTATGCGCTTGCAGACTGGCCTTACATCCATTAATGAGTGGTGCATTTCCAACAACATGTCCCTGAATATTGCCAAGTGCTCAATCATGACATTCGGCTGATTACGAGAACCGTACCACTTTCAGTATGCGATAGATGGTCAGTTGTTGAAACGAGTCTCAGTGGTCAAAGATTTGGGTGTTACTTTTGTGGCGGATCTTACCTTCGACAACCACATTGACGATATATGTAGCAGAGCAAACCGGCTTCTGGGATTTCTCTTTCGATCGACCCGTGGACTGAGCAACACTTGGGCGCTTAGGACTCTGTTCTGCTCTCTTGTTCGCCAGCTGCTCGAATATGCCTGCCCAGTTTGGTCTCCTCATTTAATCGGCCAGATAAGCCAGCTTGAGAGCATCCAGAGGAAATTTTTGAGACTGGTTGGAGTTCGCCAGGGTCTACAGTATCGGGATGTGCCTGTGGCTCAAATGCAGGAAAACCTAAATCTCCATGATCTTCGGGCGAGGCGCTGTGCATCTGATATGGTCTTCCTCTCCAAGCTCGTAACCGGGTTGATTGATTGTCCTGCCTTGCTGTCTGAAGTAGACATTCGTGTTCCATCTGGTACAAGATCCCAGGATCTATTCGGAAGGAGGCACTATGCACGTGGATACCAGTACCATGGACCCCTTGCAAGGATGCTTCGAAATGGGAATGTCTTCTGTGCCACTTTCGACATCTTCACAGACAGCCAAAAGACAATCCGGAAGAGGGTACTGGCTGACTTCCACCGCTCATCATAGTACCACCCAAAATCACGGTTATTATATTTGTTTCAAACCAATGAATGTTTTCTCTCTTTTTACAAATCTTGTTTTCTTTGTTATTGTTGAAATTATATTTACTGTTATTGTTGAAATTCATATATTTATTGTTATTGTTAAAACTCATATATTTATTGTTTTTGTTTAAACTCATATATTTATTGTTTGTTGTTCATTTATATTTTCACTTACTATTCTTGTTTTTTGTTCTTGTTCATTGGTTGTTGTTTAAAGTTTTGCTTTGTGAACGTCCATTTTGATACTGCTGAAATTGTATTATTTACTAAACTTACTGCATGTCATTTTTTCAAAAATACTTTTGTATGTATATGTTTAAGTTAGAATAAGTCATCTTATACAACATATTATTGTAAATTGGTTCTTGACCGTTGGAAGGTAAAATAAATAAATAAATAAATAAAAATTAATTTAATTCACGGGGCAGACTTTCGCTTAATTTCTGTCTACACATCCCCAAACAAACGGCTACCTACACAATAATGACTTGCAGGTGCTGTTTGCAGATAATTGTTCGACTGTTGTTATGGGGAACCTAAGTAATACATCTATATATATAATACGCTAAGCCGATTTTTGTAAACAGAACTCCTCCCTCATTTTTGGACCGATTTTGATGATTAAACTATTAAAGTGTCAAAAGAATGGCCCTGATCTGTAGTTTGCAAAGTGTTTTTAATTTTTTGAAATCTTTATTAGTTTGGACAGGATCTTCCATCAAAATTAGGTTTTCTCCCATAAGATTAACATGGGGGAATCTAAATATTGTATTAGAAACTTTGTCTCCACTAATTTGAGAGAACGGCTGGACGTAGAAACTTGGTAGAGGAGTATGTTTTATCTATGGTAGAGGTCTCCAAAGAAAGGTTTTGGTCTGTATATGAGTTAGTGAGCGAAATATCATACAGAGCAGAGCAGGTATGATGACGTCATTGTTCATACGATCGATAGCTAAGCTAGTCTTTCGATGTGGTTAGTTGGTGCTCGATAGTTTTAGTTTGTTGTTATCGAATAAGTTATAGTAGCTTTGCATTGCATTTGCATTTGCATCGTACCATACCGTACCTTTCCTCCTGTAATAGCCCAGTCAACAAAGCTCAAAATATGTCCCTCAGTGGGAAAAAATGGTGTAGTCCCGGATTTTTGCACAGTTGTGGGGGATACCCTTCTGAACAACATACTAAAAGTCCTGACCGATGGGGTGTGAGCTATGGGGGGGAGGGGGGTGTAAATGCACAATTTTTCGGTTTTCTGTAAATATCTCAAAAACGGTGCCCTCTAGCGGTAAAATGTACTGATACAAAAATTAAGAGGATTAAATTTCCAACCATAATGTCCATTACATCGTGTTCCTAAAATCAACACTTAACGAGATACATAAGTCATAAGAAAAAAGAGGTGATAGATAATAAATCCAGGTGGTTTATCAACAAATCACGGAATACATTTAAACACTTATTTAAAATAATATTGTTTACAGTTTAAAATTTCTGAGTGAACTGCTTGTTCACTATGTTGATCAGCTCTAGAGTTAATTTATTCAATCCAATAACTTGAACTAGGTACCTACCCAGTTGTTTTCAAGTAAATCTTAAAAAGGTACTTACTTAAGTAAGTACTTATAGGTAGGCCTAACTATATCGATAAGTTATACCATTTCTGACAAAATTAAATTATATTTACATCATTAATTAAGTATAGGCCTAAAGCCTATGTATTAAGTCTATATTAGGCCCAACTTATGTATAATGGTATAACTATCGTTGTTCATACTTGTGTAAACGTAAACCATCTTGCTTTGATGTAAATGTTAGCTGTTGAAATAGATAAAATAGCCTAAATAAAATAAAGCCTGCCTAACATGTAACTTATTTAATTATTGTATAAGTTACTGTAGTTAACTCAGGCCTACTGATAATCTCCATTGACTTGTTGGATCAAAATCTTTTATAATATTTTTAAGACCTAACATTGAAATATCAGTTTTTGTTATCGGTAACTTTCATCCAGGTTTGCCTTTTCTTCTTCCATTTCTGCATCTTCTATATCAATCTTTTGGCACAGTGGTCCATAGTCCCTCAAACCTGTCGCTTTTTGCTTTTCCATTTTCTTAAAAGTCTTTATATCTCTAAATCGTTTCAATAAAGAATTCCTACAAGATAGGTTCCTTTTTAAACGACTTAAACAAGTTTTTTTTACGAGAAGGGCTGGGCTCTTTTTCATCGCTCTCTTCATCGTTT